TTAATATTGCAGCTTTTAATCTTGACAATGGTAAATTATTCTTGAATTCTGAATGCGATGTAAGTGCATTTCATTTATGTAGGTATGCTAAGTGCTGCATTTAGCTGTATCTTTTTAATGCTAAGTATCTTTATCATTAACTGAGGCTTCTATACAGGAAGCCTGTGTTTCCATTTATCTATGCAACCATAAAATTATCTGCATTGCACTAAATGTATGACTTCAGATTCATTTCTCTAAATGTATTTTCTTCGTATGGGAAACATAAGGATGACACTTATAAAGCATTTAAGATCTAGTTCCTTCAAGTTTTATCTTTGTTTATATACACTCAATTATAGTGTTAAATCTAATTTTGACTCATTAAATCCTTGGTGTGTCGGTCCTAGGTGCTTCCTCTCAGATGCATTCCTTGATTGTGCTTCCTGTGCCCTGGACTGTTTCTCAGGCTCCCAAGTCAGCTGCCTTCTCCCAAGTTCCCACCAATGGAAGGCTTTGACTGTAGGCCGGGAGGGGGCAGGGTACCCTACTTCAGGCTGCACCTTTTTTAATGGCTGCCGAGGTCGCCATGGCCATAGATGCTTCAGACAGGCCCTAGGCAATAACCACTTCAAGTGACAAGGCCATAGATACCAGGAGTCCCACACCCACTTCCTCCTAATTCCCCAGCCTTGGGGTAGTTCTTGCCTTCTCCTTCTTGGTCTAATTGCTGGGCTGTTTTACACAGAGCCTCCAATTAGCTCTTCAACTGCATCACCTGTTTAGTCAATGCCTTATATTAAGTTCCCTCCATTTAAAATACATGCGATGATCTCTTCCCCAGTTTGGAACCTGGCTAATATTCTTGGCTTGAAAGCTGTCCTCACTTATCTTTTCCAGATCGTGAAACTGAACCAGCTCAAGTGAGAGCAAGATGAAAGGGTGTGACTCAAACAATTACCAGGTTAGAAAACCTAACTATAACTTTTTCTTCTTTCCAATTTATATTCCATAGCAAACCACTAATTTATTATTAGATGGTCTGCAAAAGGATTCCTTGCCAAACATGCGGAACACACTGGGTTAAATAAAGTCAAAAGAGATTCTTTTAGTATTAGACTCTCATGAACTTTAAATGTTCTAGTGTGCACTGCAACTTCTCCAACAGGAGGCCATCATATATCAAACCTGCCAAATCCATTTCATTATTAGGGAATCACTCCTTTGGTGGGGGTACTTGGGATTGCACTGAGCTATAACCCCAGCACTTAAAACATTTTTTTAGTGACTTTCTCATTGCTGAGACACAATACCTGACACCCACTACTCTTAAGGAGAAAAGGTTTATTTTGCCTCACGGCTTGAAAAGTTTTAGCCCACAGTTGGCTGGCTCCAAGGTAGGGCAGCATGGCACAGAACTGATTATGCGCTGGCAGGCAGGAAGCAGAGACAGACAGAATAAGGAGGGAGATCAACCCTTCCAGGCCATGCCCACCTCCTCTATCAGCCTTCACCTCCCAACGTCACATTTAGCTATAGCATCAGTGGATGAATCCACCGGAGTATCCACACCCATGATGTAATCACCTCCCCAAAAGCCCCACTGATGAGCAATGAGGCTTGGGAGGGACATAAGATATAAACTGTAATAAACACCATCACATCAGATGAAAAGGATAAAAGGCCTGGGCCTGAGCCATTCTAAGGCGTCTCATCTCGACCCTAAAGGCAATGGCATGCCTCCTGCCTACGGCTTGATTTGGGGCAGAACTACCTGCATGCTGATGGGCCTACACAAAAAGAACTGTAAGAAGGTTCACTCTTGTCATCCCAGAATCCAGCAGGAAATGCTTTAGGAGTTCTAGACAAAAAGCAAAGGAAACACAAAGGTCATACCTGAGGGCCGCCCTGAAGGAGCCAGAGACAAGATGATTAATGTAAGAAGTGGCATTTAATGACCTCTATATAAGGATACAGTGAAGATGAAATTAGGTGAATTTAGTACTGTGTAAAGTGCTATGCAGATGTTATCTAATAAATTATATTTTTGTCTTCTGTGTTCCATTTAATGCTCTTTCTCATTAACATTTTCTTTCTTGCTGCACCTTTTTTTTTTTTTTTTTTTTTTTTTT